ATCGCGCTGAGAATGATTTCTTCATCTACGCTTTCTACATCTTCATAAGTGGGAATCTTTTGAGGATGGGTCACAAGGTCGTGGTACGTCAAGCGGAAACGCCTACATCCATAACCTTGAGGATGTAGGTCGTGACGCTTGGAACGACAAACTTATCAAAGCTCGTGATAAGTTTGAAAAGCGAACCTGACAGGTGCACGCTACAAGCGCTGCATCGTCTGTCAGGAGAAAGGATTACCCTGCCTCTCTTAGAGGGAGACTCGTGCCCATGTTGTGTGAACAGCTCTGCACGAGCACCTAAAGATGCTTACCTCCTTACCCCCAGCAGCCCGTGGTGGCGCGTACGTATCTCTAGTGAGATGTACGAGAAGGGATTGACAACCTGAAATGCCTTTACGACCGTGCCAGGAAGACTTTTTCTCCAGCGGTCCTTCTGCGGCACAGGATGTGCCGAGGTCGTCCCCTGACAGCCAGACACGGTACGTCAGTCATCAGTTGGAAGCGGAGGTACCAAGTATCCCAGGACGGGGGATAGCCACGCCACCGGACTGAGATGACTCGTCCGACGTCCGTACGTCTGGGCTGTGGTTCCATACTTACCAACAGCTGCTCAGCTTAGATGGCGCTGGCCGCCGCGAGGAGTCCTCTAGTGGAGGTGGAGGAGGGGAGGGAAAGACGCTCTCCATTTGATCGTGGGGATCCGTGTGTTCCCCGAGGGCTTCTTTGATCGCGTAACGCAAGGTTTCCGTAACGATCTCGAACATACGGGCGGGACGGGCGTCTCCAAATGGCGGACACTGTCTTGAAGCATCGAGCTGAGTTTGCCTTTGCTTAGATTGAGAACGAGTGAGCTCTGACATCTCTTCGTGACGAGCTAAGGGTAGCTCGTGGGATAGGTGATCAGTCTCGGGATGAGATAACTGATCTTCAGACCCCTTGTCGATGCCCACCATCAGGAGCACAAGGCTCTCTGCGAGATGCTTGAGCGCAAAGAGCGTTCTTCATCGGAAGAAGCAGCGTACTGATGGTACGGCTTAAGCCGACCAACGTAAAAACGTGGGATGCGTTCGCATCTTACGTGGCAACTCGATCGTGTATGCATTGCCTAGGCGTTTCAATACACGAAATGGGACGATGTACTTGGGTAGTAGTTTACTGCTAGCCAAGTTAGTCACTTACATGCTTTGGTAGATTAAACTTATACAGTAGGACTAAGTCACCTTTATTAAATAAAAGAGTGTTTGCCCTTCCATTCTTGTCTGCGTTTTGCTTTTGCTTATCCACCGCTTCGGCGGTGGAGTCTTATTCAAAACGGACTACCGTTTCACGAGCCGGTATGAACTCATCTGATGACTCGTTAGCTTCAGTGCGCTGTGAGTGCACTACAGCAACATCAGCCTTTTCTTCAGTGAGGGCTTCCGCACTCTCACTGGCATCATCTTCTTCTATATCGATGTTATCGATATTGGCATCAAATGCAATGACCTCTTCGTCAGAGCGTGATGAAAGCTTGAACCAAATCGGTTTTGCTCGCGCGAGTCCCTCCCCCCTTAAACCAGAGTTACACTCTAGTAAGGTGGGTACACGCGGATAGCGCAAGCCATTCACGTAAAACGGTGTATGTGTCGTGGACGCATGCACCGAGTTGTTAATGGCAAACTCTACCATTGGCAAAAACTCACTCCAACTCTTAAAGAGTATACGTATCCTCGAAGTATCTCTTCGAGGGACACGATTGGCACGTTCCGTCTGACCATCTGGCTCTGGATGATCAGATGTCGACATCTTCAAGCGCGTTCCGAGTGTATTTGAACACGGAACGCCAGAAATCAACAGTGAAGCGTGGATCTCTGTCTGATACGAGTTCACGGGGCAACCCATGAAGTAGAAAGATGGTGTCAATAAAGACACAAACACAGCCACTTTGCCGTGATTGACTCTGGTACAGCCACAAGGTGTACCATTTTGCTGAATCTGTCAACAAATACGGGAATACCCGTATTCCCGCGTGCGTCTTTGGGTAACCCAAAGACGAAATCCATTGAGATGGATTCCCAGCACTCAGCCGGAACCGGTAGAGGCTGTAAAGGTGCACGCAGTGAAGGACTTGACTTCACTCGCTGACAGACTTCGCATGCGCGAACGTACTTTCGCATAAACTGATACTGGCGGGGCCAGTAAAAGTCTCGACTCACCGTGAGATATGTTTTCTCCCGGCCACGATGTCCTCCTATAGGAGCATCGTGGTATCTCGAACATGATCCGCAAACGCAGATCAGTGTCATCTGGAATGACAACACGTGGTGTGTCACCCGAAACGGCTGTAAAATACAGTAAACCGTTGCGAGTAGTGTATCGATCTGATGCAGATTGATACGCAGACGACAATCGTTTCAACGATTCTCGAGATGGCTGGGAGAGATGTGTCAACAACTTCACAATCTCACCATCTTGGGCGTATGCCCGCCTCACATCATCATACAACGTTGTAGATGGGACTGAGGACGTTATATTTGCAACACTGGCTGTCTCACTGTTGGGTTTCACGACTGTTTCAAAGTCGGGATGACTTGAGAGTGCATCAGCGACGACATTAAGTCGTCCTGGTTTGAACTCGAACGTAAAGTTGTATTCCGCAAAGAATGACAACCACCGCGCCATTCGTTGTGAAAGTTGCGGGCTGTTTACTGCCGTGCGTAATGACCCATGGTCAGTGTAAACAATGAAGGGTCTATCTCCTAATAGATAGACTCTGAACTTCGCGAGTGCATACTTCATGGCAAGGAGTTCCTTGTCATGCACTGGATAGTTCCGCTCAGCTGGTTGCAGCTGACGCGACTGATAGCAGACGACGCGTTCAACGCCTTCTAGGTCGTACTGCATTAATGCACAGCCGATTGCGAAATCGCTGGCATCACAGACCACATGAAATGGCCTGTCCTGATCGGCTATTGCTAGGACTGGGGATTGTATCAAGCACTGCTTGGTACCATCAAAGGAGCGCTGACATTCAGCGTTCTATAACCACCTCTCGTTCATTTTCAACAAACGAGAGAGGTTCACAGTCATCTTGGCGTAATTGCGTGAATACTTATGCAAATACGCCGCTAGCCTAAGGAACTTTTTGACGACCTTTGACATCAACCGGCACAGGCCAGTCGGTGATCGCCTTGATCTTTTCGGGATCAGGACGTACACCGTTCTTACCAACGATGCACCCAAGAAGTGGTATTTCGCTTGCTGCAAATATACACTTCTTGAGGTTGGCATACAATTGATGCTTTCGCATGATTGTAAGAACCTGTCGGACGTGGTACCTGCGAACCTCAACGTCCGACTTTCCATCCATAGCTCGACTATGGATGAATACGTCATCGGAAATAACTCGGCGTGAATTCTCGCACTGGTCTCAACAGATGTGATACACATCTGTTGAACGTGGCAGGGGCATTACTAAGCCCTTGTGGCATTACTAGCCATTCCCAGAGCATGCCGCTAGGCGTGCTAACTGCGGTATAGGGTATATCCCGTTCTCGCATGAGGATTTGATAGAAGCCATCCATCAAATCCATGAACGAAAAGATGGGACTCTTTGACATACCATCAATGATTACGTCCTTCCTTGGTATCGGCGTCTGAGACGGTACCGTTGCAGCATTCAACTTGTTAAATGCATGCACTATCCGCCACCCTCCTGTTGCTTTTCGCACACATAAGGTCGGAGAGCTATGTGGGGAAGTTGATTCCCTTACATGGCCTGCAGCTAAACGACCGGCAAAGAACTTGTCGATAGCAAGTACTTGTTCACGAGGTAGTGGCCACTGCTTCATGACACAGTACTTCGGAGCCTGGTTTAAGATCGACCTCGTGTCGAGTACCTTTATCCTTCGGTAATTCGCACGGAACAGTTTCAGGGAATACATCCTTGAATTCAACCAAATCTTCATAGAGAGGATTTGTCTTGAGCGATTCCCACGATTGAAAGTCATATCGCTCAACTCCTTTCTTTTCATCTAGGACACTCTCGTCCATAGATGAACTACTGAGAACTCTCTCGTTCTCAGTAAACACTGTTGCTGACCTTATGTCGGCTACACACTCGTCGTCAGCGACGAGTACGCAGATCTGCGTGACTTTGCCACTACGCAGATCACGCAAGGACCTTTTATGTTCGAGCGTTGGCAACTGAGTGATCTCCGAAGTCAACTTCGGAGGCGCAATCAGATCAAGTGTATAAGCGCCTACACTTGATCCGTTATTGACTATGACATTCAATGTCTCTGTCATTTCCTGGGGACTTATTCCCTCAGGCCTCCCCGAAGGACTTATTCCTTCGGCTTCCCGGGGACTTATTCCCGCGGGTTTCGGGGAACTTATTTCCGCCGTATTTGTAATATCAAGACTTATCCTTAACTTCCTCTAGCTGGGGTTGCGCAACCACAGCGAGATCTCTACGAAAGACTCTCCAGTCGATCTAGGATAATCGTTTCGCTCAACCTGAGCGATCGATTGTTTCTCTTCTAGATGTTCCTCGCTAGGGATACATCTTTGTCCCGGTCCACTCGACTTATTCGGAGTGGTGTACCTTCGGCGCAGCCTGTTTTCCTCACAGCCGCCGGAACTTTGCTCCGAAGTGTAGCCGTTTGGTACATTAAGGTTTTGTGCAGTCGTACTAACGACCTTACCACAAGTGAGGCCATCGCACTCACTCGTAGTACATCCACACGCTTGTGGACGCTCCAAAACGTTCATCAGATGGCCATCTGATGAACAAGCGGTAGGCATCGTTACTGTTCGATGTTGCCAGTTTACCCGTGGTTCGTACCTTCTGAGCCACGGTATTCCAAGGATGACATCAAATTTGTCATCCAATTCCAATACGATAACGTCATCGTCATATCAAGTATCTTCTAGCGTATAGTGGATCTTCACTATACGCTTCATGCCGGTTACGGATGCGCCTGTCGCAAGACGTACCGTCATCCTCGTAGGAGGTGTGTCACATTCACTGAACTTAAAGTGACCATCTTCTAGCGATTGGCGTCGCACAAAATTGTTGGACGCCCCACAATCGACTAGAGCTCGAAGGGACAACTTATTCGTCACTTCGAGTTTCACGGTAATGAGTGAGATCTCATTACCTAGAGCAGCAACGCACAACGTTTGTGTGTTGGGAGCAACCTTCATCAAGAGGCCTACAAATTCTCTTGAAGTTGCTGGACCAGTAGGGTGCTCCGCACCTACTGATCCTGTCCATTTTTGACGGTCCATCCCGTTGTTGCGTCTTCGCACCAACAGTGGACCCGCGTCCCTGCCCCTTTTTCATGGGTGGACGGTCACTACGCCCAGTGTTGCGAGACACTGGACGAGGGGCACAAAACTCGTAAGCGTAGTGTCCTGTCTTTTGACATCTGTTGCATTTCTGCAACTTCTTGTAGTCTGTAGAGCGAGCTCTCTCGCTCTCTACATAACAGAGTTCCATCGGCTCTGGACCTCCGTTGTCATATCGTCTCGGTTGACGATATGATGTCGAGCTGGCGCGAGCCTGTCTCAGAATGAAGTCTTCCTGATCCGCAATGGAAATGGCTTGTTCTAGTGAATCTAGTTCAAGTCGGAACAGGTGAGTCTTGATGGGACCATCCGCAAGACCCTGCATGAACACCGAAACCAACGTGTGTTCATCCACCGGGTTGGAACTTATACAAATCGTGAGATGTCGTATATGTTGTGCGTAAGCGTGCACATCACGCTTACCTTGTTTGAGTTTCAGGAGTTCAGTTCGAGCTCTGAACTCAGCTCTAGGCGGTTCAAACGTTTGTCTGAGCCACGACTTGAAGACTTCTAACGACCCAAACGCATATGGGTCGTGCAACTTGAGCCCTAAAGTCCAAGTTCTGGCACGTTCTGCCAGATTTGACTGGGCAAATGCAACTTGCATTTCCCCGTCGTCGATGCGACGCGCCCTTATGGCGTCATCCAATTCGACGAACCATCTCAGGAGGGAGTCTTCTTCGACTCCCCTATACTTGGAGATGTCAATCTTCAAGGTCTCGGGTCGACGCGAATGCATCGACCCACCAGCAGCAGCCTGCTGCTGTCTCAACAGTTCAAACTGTTGAACACCCTGTTCTCTCAACAACTCTGCTTGTTGAGAACCTTGTTGGTGAAGCAAGGCTCATTTCTCGCGTTCTGCGTCAAGTTCATTTTGAATGAACTTGGCGATAGTAGCATGTTGGGCATCTCTGTTAAGAGCCTTTAGCATGACGCTAACAGCATGGATGCCCATGGTCGAACCCATTCGTTCAACCGCATCCCATTCGACATCGCTCAAATGGGAGTAGCCGTCACGCGTAGCGTGAAAGCTTTGGTCATCTTCATCATCCAACATATTCATGTTAGATGTGAACGTGGTCCTTGGACGGACTACGAAGTGCTACCAGGTGTAATGGGGCACCCTGAAGCTTGTACTGGTAACAATACAAGCTACTTATTCTGATGACAGAATAAGGCGGTGCCTCGTAACTTCACGTACACTCGTACGTGCAGAGGAAGACGGTAAGAAGAAGCGAGTACTTGGTTAAAGTAAAAGTAGAACTGTATTTATCATAGTTAATGTCTGCAATAAATCACTATTTATCTTCATCTAACTATGTCTAAATACAAATGTG